ATCCTCCCACCAAGTAGCTGGGACTACAGGTGTGCCACTATGCCTGGCTAATTTTTTTTTTTTTTTTTTTTTTTGAGACAGAGTTTCGCTCTTTCACCCATGCTGGAGTGCAGTGGCATGATCTTGGCTCACTGCAACCTCTGCCTTCCGGTTTCAAGTGATTCTCGTGCCTCAGCCTCCTGAGTAGCTGGGATTACAGGTGCCCACCGCCACGCCAGGCAAATTTTTGCATTTTTAATAGAGACAAGGTTTCACCATATTGGCCAGGCTGGTCTTGAACTTCTGACCTCGTGATCTGCCCACTTTGGCCTCCCAAAGTGCTGGGATTACAGATGTGAGCCACCGCACCCGACGACATTTTTTATTTTTTGTAGAGACGGGGCCTTGTAATGTTGCCCAGGCTGGTCTCAAACTCCTGGCCTCAAGTGATCCTCCTGCCTTGGCCTCCCAAAGTACTACAGGTGTGGGATTACAGGTGTGATTACAGGTGTGAGCCACTGCACCAGACTGGGATATTTGTTTCTAACCCCTGCACCACCTCTTATTCTTTGTTACTTCACTCTTCTCTCCAAACATCTGCCCTCTGTCTGTAAATCAGGGTTAGCAGCAATATCTATTGCATTGGGTGGTTGTGAGCTCATGAGGTGATGCACGTCAGGTGCCTGCCTGGCATCATAGTAAGTGCTGAGAAAGCCAGGATAGGATCAAGCATGTATCAGAATCACCTGGATGACTTGTTTCCTGAGCCTCACTCTACAGTTTCTGATTCAGCAAGTATGGATAAGGTCCAAGAATTTGTACTTCTTTTTTTTCAGAGACAAGGTCTCGCCATGTCACCCAGCCTGGTTTCGAGCTCCTGGGCTCAAACAATCCTCCTGCCTCAGCCTCCTAAGTGTTGGAATTACCAGAGTGAGTCATCTTACCTGGCCTTCTTTTTTTTTTCACACTTATTTATTTATTTGTTTTAAGATAGGGATATCTCACTCTGTTGCCCAGGTTGGAGTGCAGTGGCAAGATAATAGCTCACTGCAACCCCAAACTCCTGGGCTCAAGTGATCCTTCCACCTTAGTCTCCCAAGTAGCTGGGACTACCAGCATACACCACCATGCCTGGCTAATTTTTAAATTTTTTTTTTTTCTTTTTGTAGAGACAGGGTCTTGCTATGTTGCCCAGGCTAGTCTCGAACTCCTGGCCTCAAGGAATCCTCCTGCCTTAGCCTCCCAAAGTGCTGGAATTACAGGCACGAGCCACTGTACCCAGCCAAGAATTTGCCTTTCTAACAAGTTTCCAAAGTGATGTTGATGCTGCTGGTCCAGGACCACACTTTGAAAACCAATTGCTTAAATAAATTACACCATGGCTTCCTGGTCTGATATATCTGGTTTCCACCCTCTACAACATGGAGAACTCACCAGTGGGCCCTGAGTTCTTTCATGCAGAGCCATCAAAAGAACTGTGTCTGGTCAGCCTCCTCTGCTCCAGCGTAGACACCTTTATATGGTTTTATGGGTTGAATTATTATTATTATTTTGACTTTCATCTCTACAGAAAATAATCTAAAAATTAGCCAGGCGTGGTGGTGGGTGCCTGTAGTCTCAGCTGCTCAGAAGGCTGAAGTGGGAGGATTGCTTGAGCCTAGGAGGTCAAGGCTACAGTGAGTCATGATTATACCACTGCACTCCAGCCCAGGTGAAAGAATGAGATCCTGTCCCCCACTCCCCCCAAAAATAGTAACCGGACTCCAAAAGCATAGGCAACAAAAGCAAAAATAAGACAAATGGGTTCATACCAAATTAAAAAGCTTCTGCATGGCAAAGGAAATGACAGAGTAAAGAGACAACCCGCAGATTGAGAAAAAATATTTACAAAATATACATTAGATCAGGGACTAATATCCAAAATATACAAATTCAGACCACTCAATAACAATAAAACAAATAACTCTATTAGAAATGGGTTTTTAATTTTGAGGGGCTGAGGCAGGAGGACTGCTTGAACCCAGGAGTTTGAGACAAGTCTGGGCAATATAGTGAGACTCCACCTCTAAAAAATAATGATAATATTAATACAAAGCTTCTGGGTATGGGCTGAATTATGTCCTCCCCAAAAGTTACTGAAGTCCTAACCTGCCAGTACCCGTGAAGGTGATCTTATTTGGAAACAGGGTCTCTGCAAGTGTAATCCAATTAAGATGAAGTCATCAGCGTGAGTCCTGATGACACAGAGACATGAGGGGAGAATGCCATGTGATGATGGAGGCAGAGATTGAAGTTCTGTGGCTGCTAGCCAAAGATTGCCAGCAAACCCCCAGAAGCCAACAAGAAGCAAGGACGGATTCTCCCCTACAGGTTTCAGAAGGAGCATAGTCACGCCCATGCTTTGATTGCAGACTTCCAGCCTCCAGAACCGTGAGACAATAAATTTCTCTTATTTTAAGTCACCCAGTTTGTGGTTCTTTGTTATGACATTCCTAGGAAACGGATACCCTGAGGTATCATTTTACAGACAACACCAACACAAACTTTTTCTTTTTTTTTTTTTTTTTTGAGACGGAGTCTCGCTCTGTCGCCCAGGCTGGAGTGCAGTGGCCAGATCTCAGCTCACTGCAAGCTCCGCCTCCCGGGTTCACGCCATTCTCCTGCCTCAGCCTCCCAAGTAGCTGGGACTACAGGCGCCCGCCACCGCGACCGGCTAGTTTTTTGTATTTTTAGTAGAGACGGGGTTTCACCGTGTTAGCCAGGATGGTCTCGATCTCCTGACCTCGTGATCCGCCCGTCTCGGCCTCCCAAAGTGCTGGGATTACAGGCTTGAGCCACCGCGCCCGGCACACAAACCTTTTCAAAATCATTTACTTCTTCACGGGCACTATGACTCGCCTTCTACCAAATTTGAGGATGTTTCCTTTGATGAAGTCCATGGGCATGAGAAACTAAGCAGTGAACTCTCATCTGCTGCCTTTTGACCTTCCTACTTTCCCGGAGTGTATTTTATTATCCCTTATATTTTACGCTGTCCACTTGGAGAAGGAAATGTGACAGCACAAACACATGATGAGCTGGGAAAGCCTCATGCCTCTGTTTCCCATCAGTGTGTTCCATGGGAGCTGGGTAAGGGCAAGGGAAGGTATGGGAGGGTGTACTCTCACCCTTGTTCAGGAGACCGCGCCCAGGGGAAAGTGCAATCCATCATCACTACATCATTACCATCAAACTGTGCCACCTCTCTGGTCCCCATCCTAGGGGATTGGGGGTGGGGATCTGTGCTCATGTTCACCTTATTTCAGGCAGTTATTAACCTTAAGCTGCCTGTAGGGTCTGCGAGATAGAGGGGAAGGAGTCTTCATCTCCCTCACAGATGGTCACCTTGTCTTCAGCACCACCACCCCCTCCCAATTGTCCTCATGGGATAACCTCCTTCCTTGGCCTCCCATACCCACAGGACAGCCATTCTCTTCCTGAAAGGAGGGTCTTTTCAGGAAGTGGAGGACTTTAAATTCCTCCTTGGATCTAGGTTCACAGTCTTCAGAACCCAGCCCATCCCAACTGTCTCTCAAACCTTCTCAACCACTCCCTATCCTTCTCCTGACCAAACTTACTCTAGCACCTACAGCTCATTATGCCTTCTTGGCTTCCTAGAGATGGCACCTGCTGTTCTTTATGCTTGAAACATCCTTCCAGCTGGGCATGGTGGCTCATGCCTGTAATTTCAGCACATCGGGAGGCCAACGTAGGCAGATCGCTTGAGCCCAGGAGTTTGAGACCAGCCTGGGCCATGGCGAAACCCCATCTCTACAAAAAAAGTACCAAAATTAGCTGGGTGTGGTGGTGCATGCCTGTAGTCCCAGCTACTTGGGAGGCTGAAGTGGGAGGATTGCTGCCCGGGAGGTTGAGGCTGCAGTGAATTGAGATCACACCACTGAACTCCAGCCTGAGCAACAGCGCGAGACCCTGTCTCAAACAAAACAAAACAAAACAAAACACTCCTCCATCTCCACACCACATGAAACATTCTTGGAGAGGGGGAGTGGGGAGGTTCTTCTGTGCACCCCTGAGCACCCTGCTTCCCTCTATCTGGAGGAAGGCCACACTGTCTGGTAAGTGCTTGTTTACTGTCTCTCTTCCTTCATGAGACTAAACTCTCCAAGAACAGAGCCCTGGACTTGTCTGCATCTGCAGAAGGGAGCCCCTAGCTTTGATTCAAAATAGGCTTGTAGGCCGGGCGTGGTGGCTCACGCCTGTAATCCCAGCATTTTGGGAGGCCGAGATGGGCGGATCACGAGGTCAGGAGATCGAGACCATCCTGGCTAACACTGTGAAAACCCGTCTCTGCTAAAAATACAAAAAATTAGCCGGGCATGGTGGCGGGCGCCTGTAGTCCCAGCTACTCGGGAGGCTGAGGCAGGAGAATGGCGTGAACCCGGGAGGCGGAGCTTGCAGTGAGCCGAGATCGCGCCACTGCACTCCGGAGTGGGAGAGACAGCAAGACTCCGTCTCAAAAACAAAAAAACAAAAAAACAAAAACAAAAAAACAAAACAAAAAAACCCCAAAAAAACAAACAAAAAACCCCAAAATAGGCTTGTGGGCTTTTCATGAGAGGAAGAAATGGGTGAAAAATAATGATTATCATAATGAAAGTTTTTATTCATGTAAGATTTGGGGGGAGTCTGGTCTCCTGTATTCAAAATCTCATTTAAAGTCAAAAGACACTTGGGACCCATTTATCCCCACTGCACAGGTGAGCAAACTGAGGATTTGAGAGGTAAAGAGTAGATCTCACAACCAGTTAAGTGGTCAAAATACAAGTATGCCTGATTCCAAGGCCCCAGTTTCCCCCAATTACTGCACGGACAGAGGGCGAACTGGCAAGCTAGCGGGGCTGCTCTTCCGGCCGACGGGGCTCGAGAGCCCCAGACCCTCGGGTACCGGGACCGCCTACGCCCCGGCGTACCGGTGACGCGTGCGCAGTGCAGTGCGGCGCCCCCTGCAGGCGGCGCGCAGGGGGCGGTAGCGGCTGAGGGGCGCTCAGTGCGCCTGCGCGCTTGTGGAGCTGGTGGCGGCGCTCCGCTGGGGCTCCGCTGTTCTCCGCGCTGCGGGCGCGGCCATGGCGCAGCCGGGGAAGCTGCTCAAGGAGCAGAAGTACGACCGGCAGCTGAGGTGAGCCGAGGCTCACCGAGCCGAGGGTGGGCCGGCGGGCTTCCCAGCGGCCGGGCCGGGCCTAAGGGCGCGGGCGGCGTGGTCGGGCCTCCCTCAGGCCTTCTTCCAGGCTGGGCCGGGCTGTGCGGGGCGCGGGAAGCCGGCGCCCGGGGCTCCCACCCTGGGCCAGAGGTCCTCTGCGAAGGCTGGGACCCCTTCCCCCGCCACGCGGTGTGCGGTTCGGGGGGGCGCGGTCCCCAGCGCCAGCCGGGTCGCTATGGCGGCTGCCAGCCCCGCCTCGCTGCGCCCGGGCTCCTCGTTTTCCGAATGGGGAGGCCCGGAGCGCACCCCATCCCGGCCGCGAGGGCGGCACAGAGGGTTAGGTTTTGTTCTCAGCTGGGGCTGTCCAATGGAAATAAAATGTAATTTTATTTGTATGTAATGGAGCCGCAAATGTAATTATAAATTTTCTAGTAACCACACTAAAGGTAAAATGAAACAGGTGAAATTGATTTTTAAATACCGTTTAACCCAATATGTCCAAAACATTACTGTTTCAACACTATCAATATAAAAAGTTATTGAGATATTTTACTTAAATTTTTATTTCAAATTTTTTTTTTTTGGTAGAAACGAGGTTTTCGCCACCTTGCCCAAGCTGGTCATGGGTATTTTCCTTTTTAAAACTGTCTTAAGAGGACCGGCACAGTGACTCATGCCTGTAATCAGCACTTTGGGAGGCCGAGGCAGGCGGATCACCTGAGGTCAGGAGTTCGAGACCAGCCTGGGCAACATGGTGAAACCCTGTTTCTATTTAAAAATTCAAAAATTAGCTGGGCGTGGTGGTGCGCGCCTGTAATCCTAGTTACTCTGGAAGCTGAGGCTGGAGAATCGCTTGAATCCAGGAGGTGTAGGTTTCAGTGAGCCGAGATCGTGGCACTGCACTCCAGCCTGGGTGACAGAGCGAGACTCCGTCAAAAAAAGCCCCCCCAAAACTGTCTTAGAAATACTGTATTTTACACTTAACAGCACATCTCAGTTAACACTAGCCTCGCTGCTTGTGCTCAGTAGTATATGTGGCTAGCAGCTACCTTAATGGACAGTGCAGGCCTAAGTCATCAGAAGGGTCCTTGGGTACTTCCCCACCCTTGCCTTTTCTCCTTGCACTTCCTTGTTTATTGAGCGTCTTCTATGTCTTGAGGCTGTGGAGATAAAGCTGCTTGGCTTTCCTCCTTCCTGGAGCCTCTGAGATAACAGAAGTTATATGTCCCCAAGGACTGGAGCTTCTATTTGCGCCACTAGCCTAGCTGTATTAGAGGCTTTGGGCACTTAATTCTGAGAGCACCCTTGAAAGCAGCCATTTCCTGTGCCTTACAGTTGGAGAAACTGAGTCTTGGAGAAGTTAGATAACTTGCCCAGAATTCCCCATATCTTTGAGCCAGGAGGTAAACTCAGGCTCTTCTGGCTTTTTTGGAGGTACTCAGTTACATCCTGCTTCCAGGCTTCTAGGAAAAGAAACAAGGTAACAGTCCTTATAACCAACTTAGGTTTTCTTGTAAATTCTTGGAGTTCTTGTGTTTCTAATGCAGGTATAACTGTGCATGACAGAGCTGAGAAGATAGTTGAGGTTACTAAGCAACTCTAACAAAAGAGGATTTTTGCTGAGGGCATTCCATTTAAGTCCCAAACTTTACCTTTCATTGTGAGAACTGGTTTTGAAGTGTCAAAGGGAAGCAGTTAGAAGCAAAATCCAGCAGTCAATAAGCTCCGCCTGACTTCACCATAGTTGGGCCAGCAAGATAGAGAGGACTGATTCACTTGGCCTCTTCTTGAAACATGTTACTTAGAGACACACTAGGATTCTTTTTTTTTTTTTTTTTCCAGGGGCAAGGTCTCACTCTTTGACCCAGGCTAGAGTACAATGGCTAGAGTGCAGTGGCAGGAACACTTCACTGCAGCCTCAATTTCCTGGGCTCCAACGATCCTCCTGCCTCAGCCTCTTCAGTAGCTGGGACTACAGGCATGTGCCACCATGCTTGGCTAACTTTTTTAGAGATGGGGGTTTGCCCAGGCTGGTCTCGAACCCCTGCACTCAAGTGATCCTCCTGCCTCAGCCTCCCAAAGTGCTAGGATTACAGGCATGAGCCACAGCGCCTGGCCTCAGTATTCTTTTTGTTTTATTTTTGAGGTGGGTCTCAGTATGTTACCCAGGCTGGAGTGCAGTGGCTGTTTGCAGGTCTGATTATTGGCACACCACAGCCTTGATCTCATGGGCTGGAGTGATCCTCCTGCATCAGTCTCCCAAGCAGCTGGGATTACAGGCACACACTGTCTCACCCTGCTTGAGATGCACCAGTATTTTTTTTCTTGAGACGGAGTCTCACTCTGTTGCGCAGGCTGGAGTGCAGTGGTGTGGTCTTGGCTCACTGCAATCTCTGCCTCCTGCGTTCATGTGATTCTCATGCCTCAGCCTCCCGAGTAGCTGGGATTACAGGTGCGCGCCACTGCGCCTGTCTAATTTTTGTATTTTTAGTAGGCCAGCCTGGTCTCAAACTCCTGACCTCAGGTGATCTGCCTGCCTCGGCCTCCCAAAGTGCTGAGATTACAGGTGCGAGCCACCGCGCCCGGCCAAGATGCACCAGTATTCTTAAATTTACTCTCCAATGATCCAAGCATCTGTCAACCATGTATCTCAGGTGTCTTCTACATGCCATACTTTGATGGAGAAAACAGGCGTTTACAGTCCATCTGGTTCTTCTAGACGATTCCTCCATACATTTGACAGCTGTCTGGGCCCTTACGAAGTGGAAAGATGGATGCTCAGCAAACAAAAACAAATGAAGCCAGGTGCAGTAGCTTGTGCCTGTAGTCCCAGCAACTCTAGAGGCTGAGGCGAGAGGAATGCTTGAACCCAGGAGTTCAAGACCAGTCTGGACAACATAGTAAGACCCTGTATCAAAAACAAACAAACAGAAAACACAGTTGCTTGACATACGCTCTGGAGGACATACTGGCTACATAATAAGGGGTAATCTGCTTTAGATCAGGTAACAGGGAAGGCACATTAATCATTCTATTAGAATATACACTGGGTAATATACTTTAAAGCACTCCTGTAGAAGTTGATGTGAGGCTTTTCAGATGGTAATTCAGTTTTCTTGGTAAAGCTTTTGCAGAAGTCACAGTAATAAGCCCTGTATCGAGATCTTAAATGCATCTAACTTAAATGCATCTAACAAAATTTTTTTTTTTTTTTGAGATGGAGTCTTGCTCTGTTGCCGGGGCTGGAGTGCAGTGGCGCGATCTCGGCTCACTGCAAGCTCCACCCCCCTGGTTCACACCATTCTCCTGCCTCAGCCTCCCGAGTAGCTGGGACTACAGGTTCCTGCCACCACGTCCGGCTAATTTTTTCTATTTTTCAGTAGAGACGAGGTTTCACCATGTTAAGTCAGGATGGTCTCTCGATCTCCTGACCTTGTGATCTGCCCGCTTTGGCTCCCAAAATGCTGGGATTACAGGCGTGAGCCACTGTGCCTGGCGCATCTAACATAATTTAAGAATAAATGAAATAGGGCTGGGCATGGTGGCTCATACCCATAATCCCAGCACTTTGGGAGGCCAAGTGAGCTGAGCTCACACCACTATACTCCAGCCTGGGTGACAGAGCAAGACTCTATCTCAAAAAAAAAAAAAAAAAAAAGAATAAATGAAATAGAAAACAGATGAGGTTTTAAGTCCAAAGACACTTTTTAAATGTTTGTTTGTTTGTTTTGAGACACAGTGTCACTCTTGTGCCCAGGCTGATAAGGAGCTGGAAGACCAAGTTTCTGTTTCTGATTTGACCCTCTCCCTCTTTCCCCCTAACCATTCAAGGCATCAACCTGAGTTCTAGATTACTGTATAATCACTATAGTAATATCTGTTCCTGTCTTACCTGTTTTCGGTGGTTATCACATCAGTCTATGCAAGGACAGTTTAAAGATCACCATTCAAATAAAGCTGTATTTTCATGGAAGTTTTAAAAACGTCAAATTTGTGTCTGTTTTATAGGTTGTGGGGTGATCATGGGCAAGAGGCTTTAGAATCTGCTCATGTTTGCCTAATAAATGCAACGGCCACAGGAACTGAAATTCTTAAAAACTTGGTACTACCAGGTAATGCAGTTTTGTGGTTGTGTTCTAAATATACTTCTTTAAGATTATGACCTAGAACTATATATTCCTGACTGACTCTGTTTTGGCTGTCAGGTATTGGTTCGTTTACAATTATTGATGGAAATCAGGTCAGCGGAGAAGATGCTGGAAACAAGTATGTTCTATTCTTTTCAAATATATACATGTTAAGGAAGGCAAGGCCTGAATCTTAGCTTCACCTCTTCAGTCAGGGTGACTCAACTTTCAGTGGAAATCATCCTTATATTTGGGATTATGGTGAGGAGGAAGTGAGATAATATATGTAAAGTGCTAGTATAGCATCTGGCAAATAGGGCATTAATAAATGGTACCCATCATTACTGTCTTTATTGTTATTAATATAAAGGAGTAGTCATTATTCCTTTATTCATGGAATATGGGCACTTCCTAAGCTCTTGCATTGATTCATAGGTGTTAGCATATGATTAACAATAATACCTGTTGTTTGTGATGTCTTCTAGGCTTAGTCTAGGTGTGTCTCTCTTTACACTGTGTCTACAAAAATGCTGTTTTAAAGATGGCCTGTGTGTTCTTTAAAGATTATATTTAGACTTTCAGAGCATGCCCAAATTTGGATTTAAAGCTCACCTTTTCAGGGACTTGAAGTCTGGTATCTCTCATTGTATTTGTCAGTAACAACAACAGTGAGTAAATATAAGGAAAACCAGCAATTAGTTCATATTTAGTTTTGATGCCTTTTCTTTGGATGGTAGTGCCAGTTTCTGCTAGGCACAGCACAGCTTTTTTATTGATATATACAAAGAAGTCTTGTTATCTTTGCTTACTTGGTTGGTTAGAGTAGAATATGATAAAAATAAGGTTTCTCCTTATGGAGCCAGTGAGCTTATACCAAAAAGTGGCATCCTGACTCTGATCAGCAGCCTCATATCTGGGCCTTGAGACACATCAAGGGTATGTGTGGGAGGAAGTCTGAACAAGTCTGTTACAGTTACGTGCAAAAACAAATGGTTCAATACACCGAGAGTGGTCTATGGAACACTGGTTCTAGGGAACGTTAAGAGCTGTTCAATGGGCCAATGGGTTCCACGGTCAAATTAGTTTGGGAAATGGATCAAATGAAGTTAAAATTTCTTTACCATAAGATTTTAGTATCACATGTATTGTGTGTATTATGAATTTCCAAGAAGGAAATATAGTATTTGGTGTTTCCCAAACTTTTTTTTTTTTTTTGGAGACGGAGCCTTGCTCTGCACCTCCAGCTGGAGTGCAGTGGCGAGGATCCCTTGGCTCACTGAAGCTACCGCCCTCTGGGTTTCACATCGCATTCTCCTACCTCAGCCTTCTGAGTAGCTGGGGACTACAGGGACCCCCACACGCCGCAGCTAAGATGTTTTTCTATTTTTAATAGAGACGGGGTTTCACCGTGGTTAGCCAGAGATGGTTCTCGGATCTTCCTGACTTCATGATCTTGCCGCCTCGGCCTCCCCAAGTGCTGGGATTACAGGCATGAGCTACCGCACCGCCAGTGTTTCCCAAACGTTTTTTAGGCCAAGGAACCCTTTTCTCTCAGAGGATCTTGTGAAATTCACATTCTGTGGTACACACTTTGGGAAAGAAACATTAATAGTTATTGAGCCTATCTTTCTTTATAAGTTTCATCTGATTTTCTTCCTCCAGGAAGGCTATTATAATCTGTAACTCACAATTATAGTTTGTTTATACTATGAATGAAATATACATGCATTACAATAACAACTTTTCCTTTATAGTCAGTAAACTTTACTTTTTTTTCCTTTGTTTTGTTCACTTTAGTTTCTTCCTTCAAAGAAGCAGTATCGGCAAGGTAAACAATTTGTTAGAGAATATAGTTGCATATGAGCATCTAACGATGCCACTATGTTTTGATTGCTTGAAAAGCTTTGACTTTAAAAATGTGTATTATTTCTCTGAAAAAAAAGTTAACTAATTTTTCTCATCTTGTAAATCTTCATATGTTTGGTAGTTTAAAAACTTAGAAGTACTGTCTGTGTTTATACGTTGTATCCTGTATTAAAGCTAAATCTTGAGTAATGTTAATATTCAGAGGATGGATTCTGGTTAACAAATTTTTTTTTTTTTTTTGAGATGGAGTCTTGCTCTGTCAGTCACCCAGGCTGGAGTGCAGTGGCGCAATCTCGGCTCACTGCAAACTCTGCCTCCCGGATTCACGTCATTCTCCTGCCTTAGTCTCCTGAGTAGCTGGGACTACAGGCACCCGCCACCACGCCCAGCTAATGTTTTCTATTTTTAATAGAGACGGGGTTTCACCGTGTTAGCCAGGATGGTCTCGATCTCCTGACTTCATGATCTGCCCGCCTCGGCCTCCCAAAGTGCTGGGATTACAGGCATGAGCTACCGCACCCGCCAGTGTTTCCCAAACGTTTTTTAGCCAAGGAACCCTTTTCTCTCAGAGGATCTTGTGAAATTCACATTCTGTGGTACACACTTTGGGAAAGAAACATTAATTTATTAGCCTATCTTTCTTTATAAGTTTCATCTGATTTTCTTCCTCCAGGAAGGCTATTATAATCTGTAATCACAATATAGTTTGTTTTATACTATGAATGAAATATACATGC